ATCATTCTTATCTTCTTTGTAGTCTCTTGAACAATTTCTGGTCCTAAAATTCGTTCTTCCCCAACTTCCGTCCAGGACAAAGGTGTTCTACATTTTCTTTTGTACAAAGTTTCATAAGGATTCATTCCGATACTTATGTGGTAACTATTGTTGTATGCAAATTCAATTAATGGTAAGAGCTCCTTCCAATTTCTTCCACTTTCAAGCATATAAGTTCTTAACATATCTTCCAACGTCTGAATCGTCCTTTCCGTCTGACCGTCCGTATGAGGATGATTCAACGTACTTAAACACAAATTAGATCCCATGGCGTGCTGAAAAGCTCTCTAAAATCTCGAAGTAAATTTTGGATCTCTATCAGACACAACACTATAGGGGACATTATGTAGTCTCACAATTTCTGCAATGAACTGTTGTGCAAGATGACTTGCCTTGCAAGTAGTTTTCACTGCTAAGAAATGTCAAGACTTTGTCAACCGATCCATAATCACCCATATAGAATCATAACCACCTTGCATACGAGGTAACCTAACTACAAAATCCATCGAAATGTTATCCCATTTCCATGCTGGAATTTCTAAGTGTTGCAACAAGCCACCTAGTCTCTGATGTTCGATCTTTACTTGTTGGCACACTACACATTAAGACATATACTCCACAATATCCCTTTTTATCTCAGACCACCAATAGTCCTTTTTCAAGTCTTGATACATCTCAAACCACCTTGCAATTGATGATGAAGAAGTTGTTGATTGATGAAGATGAAATGGTATTGATGATGGACAATGAAGACTTATAATTTTCCTATTATTTTTTTTACTTCCAGGTTTTCATTATTCTTCTTTCTATTTCTACTCTTTCTCCCCCTTTCTACCTTTCTCTCTTACGCCTTCCCACAAAGTTGGAAAAAGGGATATGACACATATAATAGTCATTTGGGAAGTTAGTGAGCATGACATGTATGGTAGAAACATATGGTAGAAAAAGATAAGTTTAGTAGTAACATAAGTATTAAGTGGTACAATGCTTAATATTTGTTCTACTAGGGCAACTGACTCATAATTAATGTTATCAAAGCATTTCATTTATACCAATTAATAAAAAGTCAGTCTTGAATAATATTGATTAAGTCAATCTAAGCTCACTAGTTACTATAATTATCCCAACTGATAACTCTCGGAGCACATAAGAACTCATTTGATCTCAACTAATATTATATAGAGTATTTTAGAAAAATACGGGGTATTACAATGGTCAATTATTTTTTCTGACAATTGAGCATTTGAGAGAAATAGAGCTGTCAAAATGGAAAGATGTGCGTGAAGGTGAAGAGTATCTCTCTCATATGTCCATTGGTGCATAATAGACAACGGTGATTTTGCTTTATCCCAAAATCTCTATATAAGCAAGGTTTCATTACTAGTAAGGTCACATTCTTCTTTATTACATCTAACTCTTCTCATATAAGACAATATGAGAAAGTCATATAATAATTATAAGAAGGGCTCTTCCCAAGAGGTTAGAAAGGCTATTTTTAAATTCAATGATGCTGAAAGGAAGAAGCACAAAGATGATAGAATCAAAAGTTTTGAAGGTGCAAATTCACAATCTAGTTCATTTGCTAGAGCTTTTGTGGTAAGAAGGACTTCAGTCTCAAAGATGAAGAACCTCAAAAAGAAGAAGAAGATAACTACAGATAGTGGACCAAACACTAATGAAGACTAGAGGACCTTTGTTAGAATGGGTAGTTTTCATCCTGACATAATCTAAGAGTTCTGATCTTTGTAGTGCATCTATTAGCTTTTGTGAAAGATTCTGTATTTGTAATAATTTATTGATCAATAATAAATGATTATTTTCCCATTGCATTTGTTTATGATTCTCTTTCCACTAACATCCTTTGAGTGAGCCACCATAGAGATGTTACAAATAAGTTTTCAAGTGTGAGTAGTGAAAGTTGTGTTGTGTGTCAAAAGAGTTGTACAATGAGTTTTGAAAGATGTTCTAATCACACAAAACTTTAAAAAATGATATGACCTAGAGGGCGCCAAAACATGATTTTATTTTACCTATGAAAATAACTCCAAAGGTTACTAAACCTCTTTTGTCAACAGTAAGAATATATATGACATACGTCATACTTGTTTGCCTTAACAAAAAAAAGCTTGGTTATACCCATCACCATAACTCAGAGTCCAGAAGACAAAAAATTTCCAGAGGTATTATGACTTAGGACCTTCTGACCCAAAAAACCTTCTCACTTAGAGGACTAACTGGTTCATAATAAAATATCCCAGAATTACATATAAAACTGAAGGATGATACTTAACAATTAAAAAACTGCGTGTCATGAGACCTTTCAGATTCATGATACATAAGTAGACAGATGAAAAAAAAGTTGTTAAAGACTTTTCCACTTACATGTTGTCAGAGGCAACTAATCATATTTTGTGCATCAGAGGCTGTGATGCTTCAGAGACTATTATTATCATAAGCTAGTTTCGAGCTTCTGATCATCATCATCATCAAACTTTGATCCTCCATTCAAAAGAAAACACTAAACTTTTACAAAATGCATGTTAAGATTCTTTTAAATGAAACCAAATCTTTTAATAGTAAGAGGCTAGGTAAATATATCATCCCATTGATGATCAATATCAACGAACTATATATCTATCACACTATTATGAACATAATTTATAATAAAATGGTGTTTTATTTCTATGTGTTTGGTTCTAGAATTATGATTAGGATTCTTTGTCAAACAGATAACACCAATATTATCACAAAAGATTATAATACTGCTTCCACATATCTGATAGCCTTCCAATTGATATTTCATCCAGAGTAGTTATGTGTAATAACTTGTAGCTAAGACATATTATGCTTATGTTGTAGACAAAACAATAATTGCTTGTCTTTTAATAACCCAGAATATACGATTTTCACCTATGAATTGACATTTCTCACTAGTAAATTTTCTCTCAATTCTATTCCTAGCATAGTCAGCATCACAAAATCTAACTAGCTTATAATCTATGATTTTTTTTATAAAGCAACACTAGATTGATTATTCCTTTCAGATACCTAAATAACCTCTTAATATTAAGTGAGTATCTTTAGGATCTAACTGAAATCTTGCACATAAGAAAACACTGAACAAAATATTTGGTATAGAAGTTGTTAAATAAAGTAAAGAGCATATCATACCACTATATAGGTTTTCACAGACTTTGGTGCCACTTTCATCTTTTCTTAAATTGCAGGTTAGATGCATATGAGTTGTCATGATATTGGAATCATCTAGCTTGAACTTCTTCAGAAGCTCCTTTATATATTTTGTCTGGTGAACATATACTTCACCAATGTATTTGTTGATTTGAATTATAAGGAAAAACTTCAGCTCTCCCATCATTCTCATCTCAAACTCAGCCTCATAGACTTTGAAATTCTTTGTAAAGGAAAACATTAGTAGAGCTAAAGATAATATCATCCACATGTACTTGGACAATTAAGATATCTTTTTTAAGTGTCTTTCTGAAGAGTGTAGTGTCTACTTTCCCTTTTTGAAAACCACTTTCTAACAGAAAATTACTCAGTTTCTCATACTAAGCTCTAGAAGTTTGTTTGAGTCTATAGAGTGATTTCCTAAGTTTGAAAACATGATATGGGTGGACTGGATCCTCAAACTTAATTGGTTGTTTGACATAAACTTCTTTAGAAATAACTTCATTTAAAAAAGCACTTTTAACATTCATTTGGTATAAAGTAATATTATGATTAATAACATAAGAGGAAAGTAACCTGATTGCCTCTAACCTTTCAACATGTGAAAAGGTTTTAGAGAAATATATTTCTTTTTGCTGACCGTAGCCTTGAGCCACAAGTCTAAATCTATTTCTTACCACTTTTTCTTACTCATTAAACTAGTTTCTAAGTACCACTTTTGTTCCAGTAATGTTCTTCTGAAAAGGTTTGGGTACCAGATCTTAAACATTATTCATTTAGAACTAATTCATCTCTTTTTGCATTGCCACAATCCAACCATCATCAAAAAATATTTCATTAACAAAAGTATGTTCAATCATGGAAAGTAGTTCTAACATCGAGTGTTCTTTTTTAAAAGCAGACATTGTCTTTCTAGGACTATCTTTATTTCCAATAATTAACTCTTATGGGTGTGATGACTTGTACGTGATTGGATTGTGATGTGTCTGATGAGCCACTTTGAGCTTCTTCAGAATCTTCTTCATCTGTACGGGCTTCTGAGGTTGAATCATCTTCTAGACCACCAACTTCTGAAGTTTTGATAGCTTTCGAACATCCAGTTTCTGATGGATTGTTAGCTTATAAACTTTTGACCTCCGAACCTTTAGTTTCTGAGGTGTCTTTAGACACACACATTTTTAAAAAGCTTTGAACTAGCTCTAACATTTTACTGCAAGGCTCATTATCATCAAATTTAATGTGTATTGAGTCTTCAACCATCTTTGTTTCAGAGTTATACACCATGTATGTTTTTAAGCATTCAAAATATCCTAAAAAGATATCCTTTTGAGCTTTGGCATCAAATTTCTTTAGATAGACCTTATTATTCAAGATATAACATGTACATTCAAATTTAATTTTGATTATCTATTTTCTCTTTCACATATTAACTTAAGTGTTAAAATGCTAACTTTACAAGCAGTCTCCTCTCTACCGCATCGAAAACTCAATCTCATATTATCTTTAATCTTTAATTAATTTCTAATTCTAATAGAGAACATCTAAAATTATAGTTTTAATCCTTAAAACAAATGTCATCCTTAAAGTAATCTTTTACACAAATCAACTAACTATTTTTTTTTGAAAGGTAATTTAATTTTTTAAAAAGTATTTTATTAGAAGATCATCTACTCACTTTATTATGCCTTGAAGTTTCATGCAACAACAAGTGCCTCGAAGTTTATTATGAATCCTATGCACAACAAGTGCTTAGTTTTCTGCTCTCACTCACCATGACCGACTTTCTAGCTATAAACCCACTTTCCATTTCAGCTACAGACTCTCCACGTTTCCCCTTTCTCAATTCACACCCAACTCCTTCAACCAGAACCCAACTCAACCCAATTTTCCTTTCCCCCTTTTCTCCCAAACCATCCAAAACCACCTATGCCAACAACATCGTTTCCGCAGCCTTGAGCTCCAGGTTCAACGGAAGGCCAGGTCCACCATCAAAGGGCCATAGCTTTTACAAAGAACTTCAATTTGACAACACAACGGAGAACGATTTTGGGTTGGAGTTGGAGTTGGAAAGAAACCTACTTGACAAGGGTTCGTCCAAAGAAACTGACGGGTCTATTCCATTAGATGAGAATGATGATAAGGGAAGTGGAAAGAGTGAGAACGAATTGCGGGAAGACGATTTGATTCGGGTTCGCGGCGACGGAGAAGGAGATGACGGGGTTGATTTGAGAAAAGATGATAAAGTTGAGAAATTTGGTGGTAATATTAGGTTAAGGAAAGTTAAACAAGTGATTAGACGGTCGAATTTGTTGGCGAAGCAGGTGATCAGCATTCAATCTGCTCTTAGTTTAGGGTTTGTCTCCCAGCTTTGGGTGGACACCACCTCTGTAAGCAAATAGCAGTTTCTTTGTTTGTTTTTATGATGGTATTTGTATCTGGGTCTGATTAGTTTATTTGTTTGGTGAATTTCATTTTCAGTGGATTGTCTTGTTTGTAGAGGTCAGGTCAAACTTGCTTTCTGGTGATTCAGAAAAATTCCTTCTTGAGGATATCACTCAGGTAGTGCTATTTTGGAATCATGAGAAGTTGATTTTTCTTTTCCTGATATACAGATGTTAGTAAGGTAGTGGTCAAAAACCTGCAATTATGGGTGTTGTTTATTTTAGGGAGGAGGGTTGTAAATGTTTTTGCTTGAAATTTCTGATGCATTTTGTGTTCTAATCTGATATCAAATTTGCAACATGGCTTGGTAACTTGTTTTGTGGCTTCATAGAACTCCTATAATAAATATGGTTTGCCAGGAAGTGAGTTTTTCTTGCTATATTGAGTGTTTTGCATGTTCCATTGTCAGGTTGGGGATGTTGTCCTTGTCCCAGATGAAAGGGTAATGGACAGCGAATATAGAATGATTGGATTGGAGACTCTGGTAAGTTTTATTGTTCCTTGTTGTGACTTAAACTTGTGAATTAATTTGTTATATGATTTATGGGAGGAATTCATATAGTGTGGCAGAATACAAATAAAAAGACTTCTTTAATATCATGTTATCCTCAAAACTCTGATTTGTTGCCGAAACAATATCATATAGTCATCATGCATTAGAAGGAATTTTAATATTGATCAAAGTATCAGGGCTTATACTAAACGATTTTCTTCCCATGGTTTGTAAATTATGCAAACATAGTATCCAATATGATCTGCAAATATTCCCTTGTAATGGGTCATGTCACAGGCTGTGCAACATCTAAATCACTCAGAGAGAATGTGTAGATGCTTCTTTTACCTACCTTTCATCCCATTTTTGCTTCACTAGAATCGGGGTTTGTTTGGGGGTAGAAAGAAAGAACCCAGAGATATATATGATAAGACCCTAATATAGTCAACAATATTTTTCATTTTCTCATCTCTAGGAACATGATCTGAGACCGGTTTAACCCTTTTCTAGATCTCATCATGGTTGGACCAGCATCCCTAGCATGATCTGATGCTGTTTGTTTATTTACGGATTACATAAGGATAACATGATCTCCACTATCCTATTTTTTTTTTATTCCTGCTCAAGTGTAACTTCTTCATTTGAATTTTCATGACGGGATATCAAAATCTGGTTTGAATGTGTTCAATATATTCTTAATGTCTCTCACTAGTTATCCCGTGGCAGCCTAGGATTTTATTTTATAGATATAACACTAGGAGTGGACAGTGGAGTTAGGGTGCTTTATAGGTTGAAATTATGACCTTTTCCCCCTTGGTGAAGAGGGAAGTCATCAAGCCATTAAACTAAAATATGGAGTTCAGTAAGTACACAATAGTCTCAGTCCTAATGCAGTAAAGATAGCATAGGAGTGATAGATACAGAGAGAAGCCAGACATAATTCATAGTTTCATACAGATAAGGTGCGTCGTGTTATAAACCAAAGAGCTTGCAATAAATTGTTAAAACTTATACAAGAACAATTATTTGTTGGTAATTGACTAGGTATAAAAATCATAAGATATCACACAAAAAAGAATGTTGGCGGAACCTTTTCTGGATTTTAGTGAGTTGTTAATATAACCTAAGAAGCCTGGATACATAGTACGACACAAATATTGGGTTAAATTTTTACAAGTCAAGATACCACATGGCCAAAATACGTTTAACAAAATATAAAAAATAAAATAACTCCACGATTTTTATAAAGGTTGCAGAGCTAATTACACTTGTAAATGCATAAACATATAGGTAGTCAATAAATAGACATAGTTACATATATTTCCATCAAGAATAAGAAGTTATTGGAAAGTATGGGTCGTGTATCAATATCGAATACGTGTCAGAGTTCAATACTTCTCCATTTTTGAAGTATCTGGACTTCATAGGTTATAACTTATAACAGATTATCATGTTTTAAATGATAGTTGATTCAATTACTTACCGGTAAATTGAAGGTCTCTTATTTCTGCCTATTGATAACGCGGATATATTAAGTGCCATGATTTTATGCTACTAATGTTTGCGAACCACCGAATGATATTTTCCGTCAGCTCGGACATTGATGAGGTGGGAGGAACGACAGTAGTCAATGTCGAGAAAGACCGGAGGCAGGGACGGGAGGTCCTGGAGGCGGTTACCGAGGTCGAGGGACACGACAATGGAAGTAATGATACCTCAGAAGTAGAAAGGCTTGGAACCTCGACCACAGTTGGCTTGGATGTGGGCCAAGAGAAACGGTGCAGCATTGACGGTTTCAGGAGCGAAGACGCACGGTAGAGAGAAGAGCTCCTTGGAGTTGACCTTATGGTTACTGTCTCGTGCAAAAATGGTGTTTCCGAGCACCCGGTGAAAGTAGCGGACGGCGAGGTGGTGGATGTAAGTGGCGTTCAGGCTGTCCCACCCATCGGCGGTGGTGCCGGTAAGTTGATTCCAGAGTGCGAAGGCCTCTTGAAAGAAGTGGTCCGAGGAAACTCTACACTGAGCATCGGCACCATGGCGGAACTGTAACATTTGAGCAAGTTGAGTTTGGGTAAGCTGGTATTCGGTGCCGAACATTCGAAAACATGCGACACCGGTGAGTTGGTTAGTCTGGCTGGTAAGGGTGATGTGTGAGAAAGAACTCAAGAACTCCAAGGTTAGCTTTTCGTACGTCGGTTGCGGAGTCGTGCATAGAAACCATAGACGGGTATTCTGCAACATCCATTGGACGCCTTCCAAAATGCCCAACTCAGTTAAGCATGCAACATCGACGTACCGAGTCGACTGAACAGATTTTTGATAGAATGTAATATAATTTGCTCGCTGTTGTTCTCCGCGTTCGCCTTCTCGAAAAACGATGGTAGACATGTCAGGGATTTCACCGTGTCGTGCCATTTGTTTCGGTTGTTTAGTGTGAAGGAGGGTGGAAAAGAGAGAGTGATTAGGGAGAGTGTTTTTCCCGTGGAATGAATTAGACGAGAACTGAGAGTTTATATGGAAAGATTGGTAGGTGAATGGGTGGAACGAGTAATGATGGGGTTGAATGTAATGAATGAGAAAGTTATTATGGAGGTAGTGAGAAGTTGAAAATGTAGAGGGAGAGGGATTTGAACGGGAGATAGTGGGAAGTTATGAAGTAAAATGAGGGGGTGGTTCGTATTCTGCTGATAGAGCAGAATTTTAATCGCGTGACGATCGTGAAGCCCGTGACGAGCGTGAAGCCCGTGACGAGCGTGAAACGCGTGACGATTGTCACAACAGCAAATTCTGCAGCTGCAGAAAATGTGCTTTGTGGTTCGTACTGGAGTTCTGTATTATAATTGATTCACATTGCCGGTCAGTATGTCAAACAAAATATCGAATTGTAAAGGAAGAATTTTGGATTAAAGCTAAAAATGCAAAAGAAATTTCATTAATTAAAGTAAATGTTGAATGGAGTACAATAATTAAAATGGAGTTCAAATTGTAAAAAACAGAAAACAAGAAATAATTCAGAATGCAGTAAAACTAAAATAGAACTAAAGTTATCAATCTTTCTGCTGCTTCAGTTTGTCAAACTGTTGAGTAATGTAGTCGAACTGTTCACAAACTACAGGTTGTGACATCCATCTGCAGTCTTGTTAGCTCATCCTTGACTGTGATTTCCAACTTGAAGTCGTCCATTGTTTTCAGAATGGTGTCCAGCTTTTCTGTCGGTTGGTCAGGAATGGGGTCAGGGAAATTATGGTCATTCAGAGGGGTGTCAGGGTCTGTCTCAGCTTCTGACACATAGTCTTCATAATACATAGGCTCATCCAACTCATACAGCCAATTGTTTCGGTTATGGATACTTGTCCGCTCATGGTTAGGCAATGTGAAGAGTCAGATCAGTCGGTCAACAATAAGGTACTCGTAAGTTTCTGGTCCTAAGTTACCTATGATATGTTGGTTAAAGCAAAACGGTATGTCCATAGGTCTGAGGTGGCTAAAGGGAGTGATTCTATTCCGTTGGTACCTAAGTCCAATTGCGTGTGCAATCATGGTGACGAGGCCTCTTATTAGGATAGGTGAATTCGGTTCTTGATTAAGCTTTTCGAAGGTTCTCATCATAAACGGTACGGCATTGACGGGACGACCGGCATTGACGGGACGACCTTGTGATGCACAATACAAGATAAAGAACTCTTTCTTAGAAACTGCGTTAACGTTTTCCTCCTTCCCAAAGAGGGTATGGACTAATATCCTATGGAAGTAGCGGAGTGCAGGGTTATGGATCTCGTTAGTATTCATGTCGTTCGGCTCAGGGTGATAATTACCTGTAATGGTACCCCAGAAATAATCTAACTTGATATCCATATCAGCTTCATGGGCATCAGTATCCACCGTTAGGGAAGCCTAAGAGGTCAGCAAGTGATTTACGGTTGTATGTGAATTCTGTTCCAAACAGTTTAAAGCATATCAGCTCCTTGGTGGATCTATAGCCGTATTCGGGTTTGTAGCCTAAGGAGCTAAGGAATTCGAACGTGAGTTCACGATAGGTGACAAAACGGGTCTTTAGAGCAGTTCGCTCCCAGCCTAATTGGTTAAACAAAAAGAGGATGCTATCGTGAATTCCTAACTGATCCATAGTGGATCCATCATAGTACAAGGTCAAAGCGATGCCTCTCTGAGTCCGAGCCTCAAATCTGGCTTGCTGAGTGGGTCCTCTAAATACGGTAACCATGTAGTCGATGTTGTCAGATAAAAAAGGAGAGAAGTAGGAAGGCTTTAAAATCCTGGAAACAGTTGAAAGTAAAGAAAGAGAAAAAAGAAAATTTGGATAAGTAATAGAGAAACAATATAAAAGTATAAATCAAATGGAAAACATAAAGTAAATAAACTAAGAGAGAAAAACGAGGGAAAATAGGTTGCCTCCCATGCAGCGCTGTTTTTAACGTCAAAAGCCTGACGATAGCTTGGTGACAAGCTAGTCGGGGGTGTTGAGCAGGAAGCTCTAGCAGTTTCAAACTGCTCACGTGGTTACTGTGATCATTTTAATTGTAATGCTTTAAACGTTGTCCGTTGACTATGAACGGCGCATTGTTTTTATCGCTAATTTCGACAGCTCCACTATGAAGGATTTTAGTTATCTCGAAAGGACCTGACCATCTTGACTTTAATTTTCCTGGAAAAAGTTTCAATCTCGAATTGAATAGGAGCACGACGTCTCCCACATTGAACTGTTTCCTGACTAAACGCTTATCGTGCCACTTTTTGGTTCTTTCCTTGTATATGCGGACATTCTCGTATGCGTCCAATCTAAGTTCTTCCAATTCGTGCAGATTCAAGATCTGTTTCTCTCCTGCTTCAGTGTAGTTGAAGTTTAGCGTCTTAATAGCCCAAAAAGCTTTGTGCTCTAGTTTCACTGGCAGGTGACACGATTTCCCATAGACTAATTTAAATGGTGTAGTTTCTATCAGCGTCTTCTAAGCAGTCCTATAGGCCCATAAAGC